CCTTATATCCGGCCGTTGCTGTGTCGATGTGACCCACACGAAATGACCGTTATTGTGTCGATGTGCTTTTCTGCATTCATACTAAATTACCGTTATGGTATCTATGTGCTCCTCTTCCTCCGTACTAAACGAACGTTATTATATCTTTTCGTTTCTCTTTACCCATACTAAATGACCTTTATTTTCTTTCTGCTGAGATGTTGAATCCCTCTCAAACAGGATCGAATTCCTGCCTCTGAAATGTTCTAAAGTGTGCTGATTAGGGTGTAAAATTACCTACTGGTGCATTCTAAAAAATCATATTTTTATTATCCCCCCCCCCCCCAGGTACGTCCTGCTAGGACTCCTCTGTGTCTCCCCTCATGTGGTCTCACTGCTACAGCTCCTATGGCGTGTGCCCCTCAGTACACGCTCCAACGGCCCTATTCTGCCGCCGCTCTCCACGTTTGCAAAGGTAAGTAGGCCTACTCACATATTAGTGAACGTTTGGAGGATTGAAACCATCATCATCATCATCATCATCATCATCATCATCATCATCATCATCATCATCATTGTTTAGAAAGCAGAGTAGGAGGAAGAGTCAAAGAACAGCTCAACGTTTCGCCTCGTGGACTTCCTCGGGAGCAGTTGAGAGGAAAACTAAATGAGCGCTGTATACTAGCAGAGAAATGGGCCTAACGAAGAGGGTCTTAAGATTACGTGTGGTTACATGCTAGACGGAAGTGGCTAAGAGGATGCCAGGCCCAGGGGCTAATTATAAAGAAATTGATTCTAGTCCTCATCTTCGATAACACTCAAACATAATATATGACGGTATGTGTAGACAACAACACACTCACACAGACAGCTAGCCATGATGCTCAAGTGCGTGGATACAAAATAATGTCCCCAACACTCCAATACCCCCTCCCCTCTCCCAACTTGGTACTCAAAGTAACATAAACAGACGCACGTGCACACACATACACGCTTTCACAAGTACACCAATACACGCACATTAGCACACGCACACGCACACGCACACACACACACACACACACACACACACACACACACACACACACATATATATATATCTATCTTGGGACGTCGTCTCTCCATTCCACCAGGACTGCTTGGCCAGTGCGGCGGAAGTGACGTGTATCTCCCTCCTGCTGCTCACCGGAAGTACCATGTTCCCGCCCAGTCTGCTACTTCCGGTTGTATCTTGCGCCATTGCGTGGCCGCTAGGTGTCTTTCAGACCGGAGACTTTCGGGTCAGTGGAAAGAAGTTACCTAGAGCGAAGATCTTCTTCTTCTTCTTCTTCTTCTTCTTCTTCTTCTTCTTCTTCTTCTTCTTCTTCTTCTTCTTCTTCTTCTTCTTCTTCTTCTTCTTCTT